CCTTTCGGGAACGTCCTCTGGCAAACGTCGCAAGATCGACAAAACCTGGTTACGTCGGCGTTAACCCCAGGCCAATAAAATTCCATCATGATTCGATCACTAGTCCGTTTTGCTCCCAGATGACCCGACATCATGGATTCATGTGCCAAACGAAGTACGTGGTCACGATACTTTGCTGGTACTACGAGTTGCTTGAACGTCCTCCCGTTCGCTACCGCCGGACTCTGATACTCCCGGTATATCAGACCGCGATGTTCAAAGAACTTGGACTTCCCACCATCTCGACGTTCCTTGACCTCATCAGTAGAAACCATTTCCCGTATCTTTGCCAGACTATCGTCTTCCTGCTGTTCCTTCTTGATGTCGGAGGGTTGAACATCATTCAAAGCAGAAGGTACCTTGAGGGCACGATATGGTCTATCCCTTCGTTCTTTCTGAGCTCTGGTCTCGACCGCCGATATCTCATCCATCCGCAGATTCCAACTGGTATCTGGCTCTTCTGGAGCCCTAACTCCTTCTATATTACCAAGGATCAAGTCGTAAACTGGAGTTTCCATGCACCAGGCAACTACATGTCCAACATAATACGGTGTATCTACCATTATCTCCGCAGTAGGTACTTGCAAAGAGCTGCCATCTGCAAGTGTACACGATCGGACCTCGCCAGTCATTTGTTCATCTGTAACAAGACATCTCTTTACCACAACACCTGCACAACCAGTGTCTCTGAGAACGGAAACTCTATGTTTCCCTACTATACCTTCCACAACTGGCATCTTAGGAAGTTTTGCAGCCGGTACATTGCAGGACAGGTTCACATCTTTCAAATCATCTTCTAACTCCACATCGAGAGGGCAATCCTGCTTATTCTCCTTATTGTCAACTCTGAGTTCAGTCTTGTCTGGTTTCCTCGTAATAGCCATTATGCGGTTCTTGGACCCCTTTTTAGGACACTTGTTCGCTAGATGATCTGTCGCTTTGCACACGTAGCACTGTCTAACGGTATCCTTTGGGTTAGCTGCTGACGATGATTTCGTAGAATCAGTCTGGTCACGCTTTCCATTACCATGAGATGAACCCTTACCTCCACCATTTTTAGGTCTTACCAAATTACTAGGATTACCCCTGGCTTCCGCGTACTGGTCGGCTAATTTTGACATTTCCTTAATAGAAGAAGGAATACGCTCTTTTAAGAAGAGGGTCAGTTCACTACCACAAGCCTGTAGAAACTGATCTCTCACCATCAGGTCTTTGAGTGAGTCAAAAGTCTTTTCAGTGCGACCCATCTCCAACCATCTTACAAAATAACTCTCCAGTCTTACTGCAAACTGGCTAAATGTCTCACCAGTCTCAGGCTTACCGGACCTGAACCGTTTCCTAAAACCGTCCTCCGTCATATCAAATCTCTTGAGGAGTGCTGTCTTAAGTACATCGTAATCTAACGACTGGTCCCTTGGCAAACGCGAAAACACGTCCAATGCGCGTCCCTTTAGCAGAACACTAAGGTTTGTTGCCCAATGAAACGACTTGTCCCAATGTTGCGTTGTCGCGTAGCGTTCAAACCGTTGAAGATAAGAGTCTATGTTATCTTTATCTTCATCGAACGGAGTAAGTTTAGGACCGCGAATCGCTGGCTTAGGATTGTCTCCCTCAGATTTATTGCCAAGCTTCCCTTGTAACTCAAGAAGTTCCATTTTCCTGCGATGCTCCTCTACAGCCCGTTCCTCTCGCTCCTTCTCAAGTTCTCGCTGAAGAACTATCTTCTCTTTCTCAGACTGAAGTTCAAGTTCATACCGCTGTTTATCTTCCGCTTGCCTAGCCTCCTCGCGTTGTAATTGTCGCTCTTCGCGTTCTCTGGCTTGCTCTGCGCGAACAAACTCAACTAGCGGCGCACCTGACAAACCCATTTCATTGCCTATAGCTACCAAGTCTTTCAATGCTGACATATTGGAAACAATTAATATGCAAAGTATACAAACAACAATGTCAACACCTGTATGCATTCCAGAACCGACACAGAATTAAACAATCACACTATCCCACCGCTGCCACCATTTTTTTGTAACGGGATGAGCATATTGTCCACTCTGATGACGGTAAAGCAACACAACACAGAGTATATACATTATTTACAATATTTAATTACACTATACACTATTAACAATGGTTGCACTTCATACACACTCTCTCTCGTACATTCAACAAGGTCATAGATTAAAGGCATAAGATATATACAAAGTAACAGTCACACTCTATAAATGGGCAGTATTCCATTATTTCCCAAATGTTCCTGCTACAGTGACACCGTATACTGATGGGCTGATATCCACCACGGAGTAAGTGTCAGTACACATGTGATGTGGTCACCGTCACATAAAGACTGCCGGAACACAACAACCAGAAAAGTTCCAGAGCTATACATTAGCCAAATGCTGAACACAAGGTGGACAGTCTATCCTCATCATAAGTGCTGGCTGTGTCCCTCAACAGGCAACCCAGTACCCCAGACCACTTAGTAAGACATGCGTGCACCTCTGGCAGTTATCCCTCTCTACTGGGTTAAACTACAATAGATATAAATATAACCCTACATCGTTATTAAATCATCCCCAACAATTTACAGCAATAATATGGACATATATGAATATATATAATATGGTATAATACATATTTACAGCTAAATCAACTTCAATGTAAAGTTCACTAAAGTATGCCACACGATGCCTTAATATCTGTCATGCTGGCATGCACCCGTGCATACACGTGAGTGATATAACTGTATATAGCCAAATACAACCCTTTATTATATATTATATCTATATTTACAACTACATATATGATAATAAATAATTATAATACAACCAATGTAACCTACAGGTCATGTAATGCCCTATACACCCTAAACAATACAACACGTGCACCTGTACACACCTGTGCCACGTATCGGGTGGATATCTATAAATAGACAATAATATGAAACCTCGCTGTTTATCTACACAGCAGTTGAACAACATATATAAACATATCCACATATGGGTTTGTGTGGTCGGTACTCACCGCAAGCTGCAGTTTGCGTATATTGGTCCCATAAAGGTAATATATGCCCCGGTGAGATACCGCTACCCTCACATGCTGTTTACACCGGTAGTGTCCATTGTCTCTCTCTCCTATACCATGTCGCACATCCCGTATCTATGCGCGCGAAATACAAATAGGGTAGTACAAAGCTATCCCGGTGAGATACCGCTACCCTCACATGCTGTTTACACCGGTAGTGTCCATTGTCTCTCTCCTCTAGTATACCATGTCGCACATCCCGTGCGCGTACAACAGTCTATGCGCGCGAAATACAAATAGGGTAGTACAAAGCTATGTAACAATAGCCAATTTTGATTTAATCTCCTGGCAACGATTTCATGAAATAATTTTGTGATGATTCGTGTGTTGCCTATTTGTTTCCTTTCCCTTGAACGCTTTACCATAAATATTGGATAGTGTGACTTTATGCTGAGACAGGATAGTCATTTTGATTTCAGATTAGGCTACATGACACAGAAACCAAAGTTGTCGGTATTATGAAAATCATACCGTGACTTTCCTGTCATTGGTTCACTTTTCCATGATTTTTTGACCATACTGACCAATCGCAGTGTTACTAACACGTATAATGTTCGTGAATTCATTCTTCTGAAAGCGACTGTTAAGGCAAGTCAACATGAAAGCCTTTACCACCTTGATGTATTCTCTGTCAACACGGATGTCATAACAGACCTTTCTCGATAAAAAAGAAACCCTACCCAGATTTTGAAAATCGTGACTTTCGATCACTTTAGATTTTTTCAGATGCCTCCAATGTTTCAACATGAAAGCCTTTAGCAACCATGACGAGTCCTTTAAAGACAAAATAACAAAACGACTGTGTGATGCTGTTTAATTCACCGTTTGGCTCTACTGTACCTTATCTATTGACCAAGGTTTACATTGAATTTGAGTTTGGATTATGATAATGTTGACATGTTGATATTTTTATATGTATTGTAAAGAACTCCAAAGAGCGTTTCGTCAGTCATGAACTCACTATGTTAAAGAAATCCACTTTGTACACTACAATACTACATACATTTGTACTTCCAATCTGAAGAAATGCCTTCATCCACTAGATATTGCATTGCTTTGGAAGGAATGTGAAAGGCTGTACAAATGTACGGTTGCCATCTATGTTAAAATTGGTGTACTGAAAGGTATGTTCCAATCAAAGAAAAAATATATGGCTGGATAAACCCCAAAAATTATTGAATGATAAAATCTTCCGAAGGACTTTTGGCTTACCTGAGGGAACAAGTGTGATATTTGTCAGTGAAACACATACACAATTGATTAGATAAGATGTATTATCTTATAGACGTAGCTTGTGTTAAATAGTTACTTAGGTTTTTCATTTTGTTCATGAGAATAATTGAGCTTGACATTGGACGACGGTAATAATCGAGTTTGATACTTTCGTAATTATTATCACACGCCATGTATTATGTTAACTATATGACATCTTGTTACATACTTAGGAGTGTCACAGTGATTCTTGCTATACTCGCTGAGAAGTTTTTACCTTCCTTGTAACTTAAAATTTGTCGACTTTGAGAAAATGTGACATTGCTTTTTTTTATAATCGGTATAATGAACTGCTGTGTGAAATGCAAAAAAACACATCATATATCCGTGCCTTTAACTATGTTAAAACTTTAAGTATCATTACAGTATTTTTTTATATTCATATTTTTGGCAATCCAAAAGCTTTTAATAATTGAGAAATTTTGCTGAGTAGTTTGAAATATCAAAATTCAAACTATCAATAAAACACGTTTGCAATATTCAGGGCACATGCACTGACTCGTATTCCGGATGGTTCCGTTCCGTAAAACTCAGTGTTTATAATCGCCTTATTTCTATTTATTTCTATGGCGTCGAGATCTGCTCGTTCTGAGTTGTGCAGGTTGCGGACGATGTCCGGTAAGGACTTACTGGTTGGACTTTTTTTGTTGTTATGTATCCAGTCTTCATTAGAGAAGCCTTATCATGGAAAACCTCTGTCTCCGGTGATTTTGAGTAAGTAGCAAAGGTCAACATATTGGTGTTTACATACATGTACGCACGTGATGTCAGGCGAGTCACTGATCCTGATGATGACGATCCTGAAATCTTATGCAACTTGCGTTAACAACATTGACGCCACTTCATTGTATGTAAAGTCATGCCTGTTTATGATAAGTTATACACATGTGTTAAGTAAAGGTTTACGGTGATATTGAATTGGTGTACACAATATACATCAATTTAGTCCATTATCAGATTTATAATCGGATTTTACAGATAAGGCAATTTTTAACTATTTGAGTTACTTCCCTTTGTCAGGTTATACATGTACTGCCTGGTGATATGATAAGTAAAGGATGAACTTCATTGATAATAAATTTAAGATAGCAATATAAATAACTTAATATCTTGACTGATCACTACATAGCCCAAACATGCAGGCTGTCCACTACATAGCCCAAACATGCAGGCTGTCCACTACATAGCCCAAACATGCAGGCTGTCCACTACATACTACATAGCCCAAACTTGTAGGCTGTCCACTACATAGCCCAGACATGCAGGCTGTCCACTTCATAGCCAAAACATACAGACTGTAAAGTGTCCACTACATAGCTCAAACATGCAGATTTGTTCACTACATAGCCCATACATGTGGTCGGATGAACCTTTATATTTAGAGTTACTGTGGTGGCAAAGTTGTTAATTTGTGTCACCATCGTTATCACTAGCTCTCCACTTCTGTGTCAAGGGTTTGATGCCCATGTGGTGCAGTGGACAGGTACTAGTGGCAGGTCAATGGTTCTTCTCCATGAACTCTACCTTTCCATTACCATTGAAACCTGCCATATTCTTAAAGGACAGCGGCAGTTAATAGGACATAAGCAACAATAAACCTACTAAATGTTAGCTTGTACTCGTTAATTAACATTGCAAAATATATGTAGTATTTTTATATTAACCTGGTGTTAACTATGATTACAAATACTTCATGATAGTGCCTAATATATGATATACAAAATTGTAAAGACACAAAAATGTGTATATTATGAGTGGTAGAACATCCTTAAAAGTTACATGCAGTTAAAATATATTGTAACAACAATCCTAAAATAAAACTGTTTTGAGTTTTGTAATGATTACCAATACCTTCTACAACTGTAGTTAATGACAGGTTTTATTTAATCTTGATCAATCAGAATCGTCAACAGTTTACCATCATGCATTGCTAACATTGCCAGTGTTGAACATTTCAGAGTATGATTTTAAACTTTAACGTATTATAAGATATAATGAACTTTTTTTCAGTGCCTGGTGATGGAGGGAGTCAGTTCTATGCTAAGCTGAATAAAACCAGCGTCCCTCATGTTTTCTGTGAAAAGGTGACCCCTGAATATTTCAATCTGTGGCTTGATGTTTATGAATTAGCACCCTATTTCATTGACTGTTTTACAGATAATATGAGGTAATGTATACATTTACTTAAGGTACCATTAGAAATAAGATTGAAGAGTTCACTGAGAAAATGCGAAAACTCACAAAATACCTTGATGTATTAGCCTATTTTACGAATAGACAACTGTATCTGACATGAATTCACATTTAATTAAGAGATTCAATCAGGAGGAAAGTTGAACTGTTTACAGTATAAATTATCTACTTGACTTGTGTTAGAAGGTATAGAAATTTATGTAGGTACTATGTATCAACGGTTAAACTAGTAATCAGCTTGTGTATAATATACAGAAGAGATACTGTTGTACTGATTTTAATAACAGAGAAATGGATTTACCTACCTGGTACCTATATACTGTGTAGTAGGTGAAAATCATGATCATAAATCTATTAAACTGTGGACTATATGACCACTATGACTTAACTAGTTGCACTATTGACCAGTTTAGTTGTCATCGACTGAAATAACTTGATTACTACCATAGCTTATATACTTGTTCATGATCGATTTACTTATGTCACTATATATACATAGCTTGTTACCGATGGAAATTATGCCATCTTGGGAAACACATGTTTATCCTACTCTGTATATATGAAATATATGCTATGATATGATGTCAAATATTGTAATATTGAATGGTACTGTGGGCTGGAGGCCAATTTGTACAATAAAAAACCAAACCAAACCAAACTAATTAAGAGATTTTGAATCATTAAATCTGAGAACTATGAATGGATTTCCTTAGTACCAAATGTGCAAAAAAGTGATGAAGGACACTTTAGCGTCTAATTAATTATAATACTTTGTAATAAAGGGGATGATGATGACCTAATTGATGCATCGTTTTAGCTGAACTTGAATGAATCATAGATGTACATTTTATTGATCAGTGGATGAAATTTTAATAAAATTAAAACGAAAATAACCAGAAATGTTATAGAGTTTGAAGTATTTACTTGTTTGTTATCAACATTGGTTGAAAACCATATGGTGGTTACAATTTGGATTTCATGTTCACATGGTTATAGGTTGGTGTATGACCCTAAGACCCGCACTACCCACAATGCACCAGGGGTAGACATACAGATCCGAGGCTGGGGCGACACAGAAACTGTGGAGTGGCTGGACCCCTCTCACTTTGGGTTCAGTGAGTATCACATTTGTTGTAATAAATCATCTTGGTTTATCAAGACAAGCATGAATTTTAAAGAATCAAATTTTCTAATGATCTATTTGAAGGACTAATGATACAGACAGCAGATAGAGTATACACTCTTTATACTGTATAAGTGGTAGAGGTAAATGTGTGGTTATGTTGATTAAGAAAGAGAATTGTAATGAAGTGAATATGACATTTTGTCCTAGATAGCTGACAATTATCATCATTTCAAGTAACGTCCGATTTTTGTAAACAGTTGGAAAATAAATCAGGTCCATTCTACAAATATTTTATTTAAAATTTTGTTATAGATAATGTTTCATACTTGTTGAGTTTGACTAATGCAAAGATGAGTCATAATTTTGTATTGTTTTGGGGATAATATTCTTATGCCTAAACCATTTCATGGTTTGGAACAAATATTATTACCCTTGTCTGTCATTCTGTCATAACTTCATTTCCTTTCATTTACTCTTTAATGGATACAGATATTACTGTAATTTAGTGTGTATTTTTGTAATAATAATATACAGTTTGTACTCTGATTTGGTTATGTCAACTAATATATTTCCAGATTTAAAAAAGTTTTTTTCAGTAAAACAGTGAGACAAATATTGGAGGGTCTTGCAAGCAGAACTCTAGTTTTTTCAGATTCTTTACCATTTATAATCCAATTTTATTTTTATGAGTTATGATGAGCACACCCAAACAAAGTCAACAGTTCTAAAAAGTAGTTTTCAACAGATCAACTTCAAACTTCATAGGAAGGTCAATGACTGCAATTTTTTAACAAAAAATACAGAGTTATGGTTCTTTATTTATTTACAAAAACAGTGTCCACACGATATTGCATATATGTATACCTTCATAGGAAGGTTTAGTACATGATAACTTTTGGATAATAATTTACTGAGTTTTGGCCCCTTATTCATTTACCAAAACAGTGTCCAGTGATATTGCAAGTGATTTTCAAACTTCATAAGAAGGTGCCTTAACATGATAGCTCAGACAAATTAAATAACTGAAATTTTTGACCAAAATTTATAACCCTTTATTTGAATACAGAAACAGTGTTTGCTCCATATTGAAAGCAGTTTTCAATGGATCAACTACAAACTTCATTGGAAGGATTATTATCATGATACCTCAGACAGCTTTGATCATTGTAATTCTTTGACAGTAATTCAAGCAGTTTTTCTGTTTTCCATCTATCTCTCATCAATCATTTAAACATATTGTTTTCCATCTAAATATGTTGATTCATTATTACCATTACCATATATTTCTTTATCATGGGACAGGCGTATAATGTTTTGCCCTGCAGTGCACTTGTTCAAGTATTTAATCTTCATGATGATGATTTTGTTCACAGCAAGTTATTTCTACTACATTGCTCTGTATTTGGAATCCTGGGGATATAAGCGAGGTGTCTCCATTCGGGGAGCACCTTATGACTTCCGCAAAGCACCAAGTGAGTTGGCACCTTCAATATTAGTTGTGATTAAGGGAGTGTTGTACCACATTAAGCTAGTGTTATAGCTTACCAGTCAGTATTTTTTGTAACAGTGTCATTTTTGTAAATTTTAAATTTTTTTAATTTCTTTTGTATTCTAATTAAAATGCTTTTGGTATGTTCAAGGATATATATGTGTCATGTTACTTTTTCAATGATTATTTTTATACATGCATATCACAACAAGTTTGAAAGTTCAATGGTGCATCCATTAACGCAAAAAAGATCAGAGTTTGGGTCTTGCCTTTTGGTTTATATTGTATGAATTGAATGGTACATTTGACATACAAAAAAGAGACTTTTTGTAGCAAAGTGCTTTAATATTTGAATGTTTGTTCTTGCACAAGCGACTTAAGAATGAAATCTAAAATATAGAGAAATATGTAGCGAATTAACATCTTTTTGGTGTTTTGGAGGAAAGTAAAGGTGCATGACATTGCTATCTCAACTTGTATTCAGAAGGAAAGAAACTTTATGGAAATGATTTGTGGTTTTCTTTCAACAGATGAATTGGGTGGCATGTACAAGAAGCTTCAAGCTTTGATCGAGGAAACTTACACCATGAACAACAATGCTTCTGTAACACTTCTTGGCCACAGTATGGGGAATCCAGTCACGCTCTACTTCCTCAACCACATGCCACAGGCCTGGAAGGACAAATACATCAAGTCATTTGTCAGTCTGGCTGGTGTGTGGACAGGCGTCATCAAAACTCTCAGACTCTTCACTTCAGGTCAGACACTTAAAAAATTCTGGAAATGTCTATACATATATAGTCAAGTGTTTTTAAAATGTTCACTGTAACAATGATAGATCATGTTTGAATAAAATGAGCTTTCAGAGGTTTTTCCCTCCCACATTTCACACATCAGAAGGGTAGGTGAGGTGAATGAAATACTGGGAATGTACTGGCTAAGAAATAAGAGGCAAGCAAATGTATAAAGTGTATGATCACTTTTTGGCAAATTAACACAAGGATTAAATTTATAGGTCAACAATAATTACTACATACAGCTCAATCATAATTTAGCCAATACTTTTCAGTGTGGAAAGTATTAAAATATGATTAATACTAAGATATGTAGGTTTAGAGTATTCTCAAGTTGCAAAACTAGTCTTTTCATCGAAAGTTTGTCGTGTATATATTTTGAAAGTATAAGAACAAGAGAAAATTAGTTGAAACATTCAGAATGTTAAATTATTTACTTGTTTCATATTTTAATAGATCCTAATGAATGATTGCAGTACTGAATTTGTGTTTGTTTAGGTGACAACTTGAATGTGTATGTAGTGGATGCACTGAAGGTACGACCAGAACAAAGGTCAATGGTTAGCACAGCGTGGTTATTGCCATCTGACCGCTACTGGACAGCTGATGAGATCTTGGTCACACGTCCAGAGAGAAATTATACAGTGAAAGACTTCAAACAGTTTTTTCAGGATCTTAACTTTACTGATGGCTATGACATGCACCTTGATACAAAAGAATTGATTAGAGATCTCACCCCACCTGGTGTAGAGGTTCACTGTCTACATGGTCACAATATCTCCACACCAGGAAGATTGGAGTTTGGCCCAAACATGTGGCCGGATTCCCAGCCTAAAGTAATTCCTGACGATGGAGACGGAACTGTCAATATCCGAAGTCTACACGCCTGCACAGAGTGGAAAGGGAAACAAAAACAAAATGTATACCATAAACAGTTTGATGGAGCAGAACACATGGAGATTTTAAAGGATCCGAGGATAAAAGACTATTTAAAATCTCTGCTAATATCCTAACATTGACTTACATCTAGATCTTAACCTATTTTTTAAATCTAAAGGTAGATGATACATTATATAATGGTCAACAAATAAAGATCTGTCTGATTTATAAGTACAGTAACTATCATACTGATCTAAAACTTTACAACTTTGAAAACTTGTGTGACTGTGCTAGTATCTTAACATTGATTTGCATCTAGATCTGTACTTATTTTTAAAGTAGACATAGATAATAGTGTTAGTAAACATATATGTCAGGTAAATACATATTAGCCAATATAACTTTTAATGAGTTATCTGAAAAGCTTGTGTGAATGTTACTCTCCAAATTGTCACCAAGTCAAAATAACCTACCTCTATAAACAGTTTTTCCGTATTTGATAGACATCATCGTAAACAGATGTAGCCTACTGTTAATGAGTGTTCATAATAATGTCAACTGTATACCCTTTATAGGATAGGCATTGTGCTGTTTCAACAGAGGTAAAAACAGACCAGGTAGTAAATAAAACATACTCTTTCCATTTCTTCATCCATCAATCCATTGATTCACTAGTGTTAAAATGATAGACAAATCGCACAAATGCTCAATAGTATAGGAGAATTATGATTTATAGCTTCAGTAAAATTAACTCATAAAAGGGAAGTTAAAGCCATATTTCATCAGCAAAAGTTCAGTGTTCTCACTTGCTTTTTGAAATTGGGGTTACAGTGTACCCTTAACAATGTATTTATATAGGAGATTGCTTGAAAATCGGGGAACAAGTTCTGTATTTCACCAATTTGGGGAGGGGTTTGTACCTTCATTGGGAATGCTTGAGGAAGATTAAGCTACATTTGGTTGACAAAATGTAAGGTTAAGCTACGTTTCATTCAATTTGATAAAATGGGAGGTTAATGTTGCATTTTATTATTGGCAAAAGGGAAAGTGTTTTGAAAGTGTCCAGGTCTTTTTCTTCTTATTCTATTGATCTCTGGGATTGTATATTTCAAGTAGTAGAAAACCTGTAATATAATGCCATAATGATGAAATATGTTCCATACAGTGCCTTTCAAGATCATTTTCTTCCATAGTTTAGGTGTACATACCGTATATATAGGGCAATAGAATTGTGTAATAAGCCTACTGAAATTGCTTTTCTGTAGAATTGAAAATATTATTTCATTGTCCTGTAATAAGCCTAGGCCCTTCTGTTGTGTCCGAAGTAATATGTTGGCCTGTGAGCTAATTGCAGGATAAACATGGTGATATTTAGAGATATTGGTAGCTAAATGTGTTGTACTCATGTACTTGTATTATACATTGTCTTTCAAACAAGTATTGTCATTATCATTTAAACCCAGTAATCATGCATAATAAATGCTCCAACAGCACTGAGAGTATATAAATAATGGAGGTATATATCAATGTGACCACAATTCTATGCAATTCTTTTTTTTTAGGAAATGCTCACTTTTCTTTTCAAGGGATTATAAAAGGACTGCTGTTTGGTCACAGTAGATAAATAAATTCTGTCTTAAGTCAGAGTAAAGGGATAACCTCTAGTGTATTATAATTGTATTACAGGAACAGTTTTAAAAGGATATCTTGTACAAGTTGGCAAATTTCTAGATGTTTTGTACCTGTTCAGAATTCTTTCTAATGACTTTTAAAGCTATTGTCATAATCAAAATATCTTGACTTTTAAACCGTTCATCTCATACTTCACAAAACCTGTCGTATACATTAGGGTAGTGCCCTAGTTGTGCCTTTTGCTATTAATAACACTTTTTTTTTTTCTGTTACCATGGATACATAGTCTAAATACACAAAATTAGTGTGAAATTTCCTCTCCAGGGCTACAACTTCAAAACCATTCCACTCAAGTCCGCAAAACTTTCTCTATATATTAGGAAAGTTCCCTAGTTAAGTTATTTCTCTGTTACCATGAAAACTGATAACCCTCATCACAAATTTCACTTCTTCTGGATCATTACTTTTTGATATTAGAAATACGCACAAATATTTCACACTGTTGATAACTAGCTAATAAAATGTGACTAAATCCTGGTCAGGCTAATGTTTGTAAATCTGTCTAGCTAAATCAATATAGAATTTCCATAAATGAAATGTCCCTTTAATCCATACTTGTATGGTACAAATGTTTAATTAGCCTGATATTTAAGTCTATAATGATGATACAGCTTGTAAGTGTAACCAAGTGTAACAAGACGTAGAAAGTGCAAATTGCCAAATAGGGATTCAAACTAAAGACCTCTTAATGATAGCCAGTCTGATCAGGTGAAGTCATCTGATCATGTCTACTCATCTAGTTAACCAATTAAAATTCACTGAAATCTTGCCGTTATGATGAGAGCTAGTCAGTTTTCTAGATTGGTTGTTCTAAAATTACTTATCCTACTAACTTGTTTTGACTTTACATTCATAGAATAATTCTGTTGGCGAATGTTGGGATAGATTTCCATTTTAAGTGCTTTTAATTGGTGCCAGAATTTTCCAACATAAACTTGCTCAAATGATTTTATAGATTTTATGAGAAATGTGATATATTTCTTTGAAAATGATGTTGCTATGATATACTTCTTTAAAAGTGGTTTTTCCCATGCAAAATTATGTACCATATAACAGCTGTGTTTTTTCTATATTGAGAGATGTATGTGCTAGATGCTTGTTATTGTTCACCTGGCCACTGAACCATGAAACTGTCAACGTCATGAAAGCAATTGTCATATATGATTGGTGAAGCAAAGTTTAAAGTTTAAGTTGAGATGAGAGCCTCATACAGAATATATAACACTGACTTTTCTTTGTAACAGTGTTGTATACAAATTCAGGTGTACTGAAGAAATCAAAAGACCTATAGCTAGTATATTGGTATGTATATTAATCTATTAGAAATTGGATACAAACTTATCTACAATTACTACGGGTGTAATTACCATGTGACAGTTTAGTTTAATTATCAATAGTCATCATATCAGGAAGGGGGATTACTTCCCTTGTATAAGTAAACGCTTTCATTCAAACCAAAATTTGGAAAAAGGCTTTTTATGTTTTAAGTGCATCATTTGGTATGTTGCTTTAAGTTAATTGATACAGTGATAATTTGATGTTTCTAAATTCAGTGATATATACATTGATGTATGTGATTATCTGACAGCTCTTAATTTGGTGATAGACATAATGTAATGTGATGGGAAGTTAACTTTTACTCTCTTTCACCACCATTTTTTCCCTTTCTTTTTTTTTTTCATTGTATAGGTCTCAGCAAAAGTTACAGCTAGTCCCGTGGCATTTACATATGCCTTGCTTATAGGTTCGTTGGTGCATTTGTTGTGAATATCCTGGTGATTAACATATCTTCATTCTCATTATATCACACAGTACTACGTACACTAGTCTGTATCACTAGATCACCATATGTTGGTGAATATAGTAGCTAAAGCAATTCATATTTCTATACATAGGTCAGTACCAATGCAGAAATGAAATAATATAAATGTGTTTTGTTTGTATAATTGTTGTTGCTATCACTCCAAACCCTGTACTTTGTGCCAGTGATCTGAAGAAAACCAAAGTTGTCGCTTATATTGATATACATTGTGCTTGCAAAATTGTTATATATGCATTGCATTTTGATTGAAAAGCTTTTCAGCACCAAAAGGTTGGATAAGGTATGGATTTGACGAGGATTAAGGCCTCTTGATAACACCTATTCAGATCTGAAAAACGAGTCACTGTTGCAATCTTTAAGATTGATTATCTGGACACCAATTTGAATTGCTCTTCGAAATTTTCCACTCCACATCTTCTCACTGTCATCAAAATGTCTGTTCATGTGACAGTAGTTTAAATGGTTTGTTATATTTTATTTGTTTTTGCTATGAACAATCTGATATTTATTTTGCTCCTTTTAAGGCTGACACTATTTTTAAGGTTGCCACTTACAGGTAACACTAAGTACATTGTACACTGTAATTCTATACAGTGTTTAACACTGACTACAAGTGTACAATACTCTATTTCATCCACGGCGTCAGTGGTATATTCTGTCTTTTGAGAAATGTGTTTATTGGAGCATACTATCTTCAAGAAGTACATTGGTAAATGTCCTGAAATTTTCTGCTGATAATAGTGGTAATTTAAAGTTTCTATATTGATCTTCATATAGAAATAAGCTGTAGACAAATTGTAATTGTGTCAATCCACTAGTGTCCTGTAGGAAGGAATGGGTTACTCATTAATCAGGATTGATTCTGATCAAGGGAGATAATTCTTACACTAATTTGACTTCTGAAATAATAATTATTTGAAGGTTTGGTTTTAAAACAAATATTTTGTTTTAAATGCTTTTATTGAAGAAGTGTTAATTATCCATGTACATTTATTTTGACATTTTTAGAAGAGATTGGTTTTTCGTTAGATGAATTTTGACTCTAGTTTGTATACAAATGTATGTATGTAAGGATAAAGTATATAGGAAGCGAAGTCTACATTTAAAAAAAAAAGTACAGGTCATTTTAACAAACACACCTGGTATCTGTAGTTTATTTATGGGGTCTTTTATCAGAGAATGAAGAGTTTCTTGCTAATGCCACATATTCTTCAAAACAACAAGAGATATAGTTGTGTATTTGTTGTTGTTGTTCAACTCATTTCCTTTCTTGTGTTATTGGTTTTGTCATCCTGGCAGTATTCATGATTAGAGGAGCTTTGTAAGTGTCATTTTATTAAAACCATTCTTAAACAACTTCCACCTAAGGATCCGTCAGAGCATGGTGTGACCTAGGATGGTTTTAAAAAGTTTTACTGTTAATGAATCGGTCCAAAATCACCTATATGATAGGTAGTAGTTACTGTAAATGTTAACTCTAATTGTATCATTAAATGCTGACTCTTAATATGTAGACAACCTACACACAGCTTTTTTCTATGGAAACACACAACCTCACACACAACCTCACACATAGTTACACACACACAAACAAAGACTGTCACATAGATTGAGGAGTTCAATTTGTCTGGGTTGTACCAAATTGAACTCTTCTATCTATCTACTACTGCTACTTTCTGTTTGGGGAAAAAGATGAATTTGAAAGGTGCCCAACATTCCATCCTCGATAAAAATTCCTTTCTTTGAAATGCATTGAACTGTTGTATTTAGGTTGGATGTTATGTTTGATGCATTGTAGATAATTATATGTTGTGAGATAAACTATAGGTTATGACCTATCCTGATCACCTTTGTCTCT